TCAAATGTTTAAATGGTTGGAGAACGAGCCGCATGGCTTGTTCATTAATTCCTTTAAGACGAGTCTTAGCCGTTCCATCAGCAACATCAAAGTCCCAATCTCATAATAATGATCGCAAATGTTGCCGTCTTCAAATTATGGTCCCTCCGATCCACGTGGCTTATTTCTTTTTAGACTTCCGCGTGGCTTAAAAACTTTACAAACGGGCTTATAATGCATCATTTACTAATAATGATCTTTAAATTCATCACGTTTGCTTAGTCGTTTTATGAGAAAATGAAAATCGTTGAAGTTTTTGCTGACCTCTCTCTTTCAATAAATCTCGTTTAATAAGTAATGCTTACTTCTCTCATTGTTGGCGGCTTCATCCATTGGTTTTTCGGCTTGTATGGTCCAGGAGACTGAAAGCTCTGTGCTCTTTACTACAGGTGGCGTGGATCGTGTGATTAAATTATTTTTCCGGAATTTTGGAAGGTGCTCTCCTAAGGATTGGGATCACCTACCTGTTAATGGTTTGCCTGAATATTTGTGTGATTCCATTTTTTTCGTCGGGTAAGCGACTAGTCGGATCAACCATAATTATCAAAAAAAAAAAAATTTTTTTTTCTACCAGATCATTGTGGTGTAAACTTTTTGGTAAAATCATAGATTGGTTGTGGCAAAGCCGAGCACGAGTTATAAATGGTTAAGCTTTATGAATTAATTCAGGCCAGCAAATTTTGATAATCCAGATGTCAGTTTTTCATAGAGTGTAAGTCAGTCCAACCACACGAATTGTGGCTTCCCACTCGGATTGTTTAATGCGTAGGAATTCAACCGTGTGCCTTTCAAATTTAGGTTCATTGTAGGCTTGCCATATATGTTATCAATATTCCAACGTAAAGGTTGTCTGTGTGATCCAATGCTCAAACTTTAAAAGTGACAAATTTTTTGTGAGTTCATACAAAAACTCCTGAAACTTGAAATACGAATTTGGTGGGGGATCCGGATTTGTGGCTTGAACGGTGAACAATTAGTGTTTAGATCCCTTTGCCGAACAGGTGTTTCTCACAATTGAAGCGTGCAACGTGAAAGGGACAATTTTAAACTTTGTCTCCTGGTGACTTAAGATAATTAGGTTGATTCATGTGAAGCCTCATCTTTGATATTAAAAAATACACTTTGCAAGAGTGGAAAACGAAAATATTATGATCAACCGCAAGAAAGAATTCAATCATACATGTTTACACTTGATTTTATATTTTTATTAACTAAAATATTGATAGGAACACGTCTAAAAAGTCGGATATGACAAGGATTCCTTTTTGCCATCCTTTTGGATTGTTGTTTCAAATTAATATTTAAAAACTTAATTCTTGTGTTTTTAAACTGATAAATAAATACATGTGCAATATACAGTATACAGCATATACAGTCCTCCTAATAAAAGGTAGGATGCTTAAAAATAATTAATTAGAAAAGGTTTCTGCATCTAAGACTTTTTTATTTTATTAATTAAATTGGATTCTATTACTAAGTAAACTTATTTCTCATAATGAATTCTACATGCAGTAAAAATTTTATCAAATTTGAATAAACTTTTATTATCACATTTAACAATATTTTTCTAACCAAAAATTAAATTTTGGTATCCATTCGATTTTTGTAATCAATATTTTAACCATATTAAAGTTCTTAAATTTAAAATTTTCATGAAATTTTTATATTATAAAAGTATTATTTAACTATCATATTTACAATTGTGAATTCTGAAATACACTTTTTACTAATTTTCTAATTATATACAAAAAAGATATTAACAAGAAATTTATATTTTTCTTAAAACAATTTGAAGCTTGTTTTCATAAATTATTATCACTCTTCCTTACTTATTTATAAACTCCTTTGAACAAAAACTTGGATATTTGATAATCTAAATAAACTTATGTACTTACAATACTTTCTTTACTAAAGACAAAAGGGTTTTAGAAAATAAAAGGATTAACAAGTGAAAAGTTACCTTTTAGAATAAAAAATAACAAAAGATAAAGATTTTGTTAACAATTAATAAATAGTAATATAAAGTGATAAACTTATGATTAATATATTAAATAACTTTGAATTATAATATAATTTTTTTTTTTTTAAACACTAGCTTTGCCATATTTTATTTAAACTCATGGAAGTAACAGGAATTAAGCTAACTCAAAAACTATACATCTGAATTTTTTGTCTGATAAAGTAGAAACAATAAAAGATTTCCTTTAAGGATTAATTTATCTTATGACTAGATCACCTCTTTAAAGATCAGAGGATTAGTATATAGTATTACTAATACTAAAATAAATTTCAAATATATAAAGAAAAATAAAAGAAAGAAAAAGATTATATTCCTGATTGTATACTATTTTTCAGATAATTTGTTAAAGTTCAAGCCTATTTGACAAAGTTATATTTGATACCCTATCAAAACTTCTTAAAGTAACTATTCTTATAAATAAGAGAACAAAACTATATAAGTTTAAACAGAGGTGAAAATTTTATATTACAAAAAAAGATACAAGAAGATTGAAGGAAATAGTTTGGTTATATTTGACTGTTATCTATTAGTTCAGGTCTTATTTCTTCTATATACTATCAAGTAAAAAATCTTCTATAAATGTTTCTCTGAATAATGACAAGTCGAGGATTTTGTAGGAGGCTCTAGAACATAGGAAAGATAAAAAAAAAAATGAAGTTTGAAACCTATTATCTGTCAGTCTGTCCTTTTTTATTATTATAATAACACTATTCTAGAAAGAAGAATCTTGATACTTATAATATATATCCTAGCAAACTTGATAAGTACCATACTGTTTTTCCCAAAGTATTATCATCCTTAGAGATTGAACTATTATCTATAGTTCTGACACATTTTTCACGTATCTTTGATTCAATTACTATAAGTTGGTATTGATAATTAAATACAAGTAATCCTGAAATCTCCCTGATTTCTCAATAAGCTTGCTAATAAGAGATATATATGACACTTTTAAGGCATTGTCCTTATTCTATATTTCCATGAGTTTTGTTTTTATTTATTTTCTTAAATAGCTAAGAAGGAAAGTATTTTTCTTCTCTTTTATTTCATCAATAATGTAAAAGTTTATAATGTTTCTTATCTATCTGTGCTACAAATATATAACTTATAGTGGATTTTAGGTTTTTATAGAGCTAAAAAAATACTTTCAAACATGTGAGATAACCAATAGGAGCTTGTTTACTTCTTTTTTCTAATGTGTTTTGTTGTGTTCAATCATGATATAGAAAACTTTATGCTACTCAAAATTCAGAGTCAAACTGAGGTAAGCAAAATTCTTCAGAAAAACCTTGAAACAAGCACTCTTATAGCCAAACTTAAGAGAGAAAGATGTGAAAATAAATCTCTTGTACCTGCATATAACTATGTAGTATTTCTCTATAATGTAAGATAATTATACATTAGTTTTTCTTCCTTTCAGAACTTTCTTGTTATAAGTAAAAAAAGTATATCAGGAAATTTTTAAAAAATTCTTTGAAAAACTTTTAAAATTTTCAAAAATTTGTAAAAACAAAAATAATTTCATTAATTTTAATAATAAAAAACTTCAAATATTTTTTATTTCAAAAAATTTTAGAAATATTTAAAGTAATAATATGTACAGTACATTAAAATAAATAATTATTTAATAAATATTTATTATATTTACTAATTTATAAAAAAAAACTCTTTTCACTGACCCTTTGACCACACACAAAAAAGATATTCATAAGAAGTTTTATACTTTTTTGCTAATAAGGTCTTAACACTTTCCTTAAAACAACTTGAAGTATGACTTAAAGAGTCACTTCTACTCTTTCCCTATTGTTTACAAACCTCTTTACTAAAAAACTTGACTTTTAATGACCAAGAAAAATCAGGTAGTACCTTTGATACCAATGATAAAAAAGTTCCCAAAGGAAGAAAAACTGATTGTGAAGTACCTGAAGATCTTTCTAACCTTTAAAGTGAGAGGCTTATAGAGGTTTTTTGCAATAAAAAGACTTATTTTTTCCTTTTTTGATTGTTTTGGCCCTCTTAGAGCTTCTATGTTTATAATTTTCTGGAGAATTTTGCTTACCTCAGTTTGACACTGAATTTTGGGTAGCACAAATTCTCATCAAAAATTATTGGTTGACATGAAACACGTCAATTTTTGAAATATAAACAAGTTCCTATCGGTCACACTCACATGTCTCAATATATCATTGGTGATATAGAAAAGAAAGTTCTAGAAAAAGGGATCCTTTCAATCGTATATGTTCAACTTTCAGGAAACAATTATGATACTGAAAGGCAAGTGATGGGTAGGAATAGAAGATCTAACTCCCATCTTTCATTACATTTCTCAGATAGTAAAAAGACTTTCTTTGACAAAAGCTGAGGTCTCCAAGCTTCTATCCTGGTTAGGCAAAGTTCTTGAAAAGATTTCTTTATTCCAGTTAAACAAACTCTTTCATAATATAGCACTGACTTCACTAGCAATAAACAAATCCATACATTAGTAAAAGAATAAGTTTTGCAAAAGTTCTTATTGAAGTCATTTTTAGGAATGGCTAAGTTCTTCAAACATCATGAAGCTTAGAAAATATCCCAATCAGACAAACCCCTTTCAAGAGGAAACTGTGAAATAAAGCAAGAATCTTTTGGAGGGTTTTGAATTGTATTCTCCCTTCCCTTTTTTTCCAGTGTCCACTTTAGCAATTCATCATTTTTCAGGATAATTGACAGTAACAAACTGTTGACAATGACTCTAGTTGACTTAAAGGCACTATGCCAAACTACTGGAAGAGCATAATATTGTTTCTTAAATCTAACTTAGAGTACTTAGTTTAGACTTAATTTTGTTTAGTCCAAATTAGCTTAGTGAACTCTATATATTTTCTAAGTAGTGTAGTCCTTTAACTAATAATATATAATGATAAGTTAGTTGCTTTGCGAAAGTTTATAAAATATTTAGATA